GTTCATCTGCCGACAAACGCAGTGTGACACATCGTTTTAGCGGCTCATTGATTTTCAAACTCACCCTGATACGTAGAAAGCTCCCCAAGCATTCTCCATTTAAGCCACGATCCACCATGTAGAACATACCCAAAAAATTACCTAGTTTTTCTCCCATGGCCGGGGTCAGAAAAATCGGCGGAATACGGCGCACACGCACCCAAAAACTTTGCGAATCCACCGAAACGGACATAGGATCCACTTCACCATCAGTGCTCGCCAGTAGCAACAGCGCCCTATCAAAAGTCCAAGGGGAGCCCCTCATCACCTTCTTCCTATCGAAATCTGTTTTGAAAGAGAACAAGAACCTCTTGGGGTCGTCCAGAGACACCGCAGTGAACTCCTCCCTGGTATGCCAAATCCTCTTCAACGTGCCAAATAAAGCCTCCTTATGAAACGCCTTTGAAGTGAGCAATTTCCCAACAAGCAAGAACCGTTCAGCCTTCAAGTTTCCCAGATCCTCTAACCCGACAACCTCCACTGATTCAGATTCTGAAATTGCCAAGGAAGAGGTGAGACCTAATACTAGTTCATCAACAGCCGCCATCATCCACTCAATGCTTCCCTGTGTAAGCCGAAGGCAACACCCAAACCCCGCTTGAACAAAAGTGCTTCCCTCTGTACGCCGAAGGCAACACCCAAAACCCGCTTGAACAATAGTTCCGCCGTATTCCACACTGTACGTGTGATGAAACAGACACCGTTGAAAGCAGCCGTGAACCACAAGCAATCACTTAGAAACCCTAACCAACCTGTACTGGAGACTGGCGGCACTAAAACCCTAACCTAGGAGGAAGGGACTTTCTGAAAGGGATGCACCCCTATATTTCGTAACTTAAACTTGCTAAACAAAGCATGATGCCGTCCATACTTACTTGTATCACCACAAAATAAAGGCGATTGAATCGTCAGAAATAATAATTATTATTATAAAAATAAAATAAAAAATCTGCCTAGGCTCTAGGCGGTTCTGGGCGTTTTTTTTAATAATATAAAAATAATATTTCTTTAAATTATATTCCTAGTTGAAAACATCTATTTTCTATTTGTATATGTAGAAGAAAAAATATTATTTGTATTTGAATATCTATGACAACATTCACATGTGTTGTTATTTTTTGGTGATGCTTAAATGAACGTTGGTGGTGGTATGTTGGATTGGTTCTTTAAGCTACATGCATCTCATTAATTTTTTTTAGTCCCCATCAGGACCCGTTGGTTTTTTTTTTTTGTTGTTGCAAAATTACAAATAATGCTGAAATTATTTTTTCCTTTTTTGCTTAAAATTAAGTGCTAGCAATGATAAAGTACAGCCAAAGATTCCAAAAAAGATAAAAGGATTGAATCTTGTGGGCTTTAAACATTCTTACAAAAACAGAAAAGTTAAAGACATTGTGGGCTGGGCTCAGTCAATGGTGCTGACAAAGAGGAGTGAGAACTTTGAATGCTAAACTCAAGAAGCATAGAATCTGGTTATGGAGTTTTATTAGCTAGCAGCAGCAAAGTAATAATACAAGGATACAGCAGATTGAAGTATAAATTTTTCTAGTAATGATTGAGACTCAGTCTGCCTTTTTCCACACACCATTCTCATCACATGGGATGAAACTGAGTTTAGGACACTTGACTATCTCCAAGTAGGTCAGGCCTGGAAACAATTCTTGCAGTTTCCGCCAATCCATCTGCAACTTTTCCAAGAACTGCGCACCATTTTGACAGCCCGTGACACAGATTTGAGAGGCTTCCACCCCTGATATAGAGCTTCTTTAGGTTATTCAATTCCCATTGCATCAGCCAATCAGGAATCTTAGAACCAGGGAAGTAATGGTGGTTAAGTTTCACCAGAGAGTTTCTCCAAAGGAACAGGAACATGATATCGATAAAGATCGGAGATTTTTTAAAATTCCTTTGAAATTGTCCTCACCATGTTTTCACAACCAAACTAATATCAACCATTTAAGAGGTCAATGGTTTTAATGCAGGCAATGCCACAGTAGTCAATAATTGTAGGTGTCATTTTTGGACGTTCCTTGAGGATCTATCGAGTTGAATACAGATTCATACCACCATCTTCGAAATAGAATTTGTCTAGTCCACTCCAAACAATTTTTTGTTTTTGTAGACCACCTTGATCTTTTGAAGGGTATTTCTCCATGAGCTTTGCATAATCGGGTCCGGGGTCAGGTTTTTTAAACATGGATTCCTTGAAATTATCCAAGCTTCCAAGATACGAAGCGCGTGTGCCCTCAGAATAAAAAAATTCTGCCTAGGCGGCCTAGGCGGGTCTGGGCTGTTTATTTTATTTTATAGATATTTTTTCCTGAATTTAACAAAATCTACCAGATTGATTATAACAAAATCTCTCCTAATCGATTCACCAACACCAGGATGCATAACCTTTACGCCAACTGAAACTATTAATCTGCAGAAACAGATAAATAATTTAAAAGGGTCGCATGTCTGTTTCTCTCGGGTTGAAAACTATTAATCTGCAAAATCTCTCCTAATAAATATTCAGATATATTCGAAGCGTATAGCCGCGCGGCTATAATATTAAAATATTCGAATATATTCAAAGCGTACAGCCGCAACGGCTATATTATTAAAAGACTCAAATATATTCGAAGAGTATAGCCGCGCGGCTATACTATTAAAAGATTCAAATATATTCAAGAGTATAGGCTATACGATTAAAATATTCGATAGTATTCTGTCTTCCTGTAGTCTGTTTGCTTGAACTTTTTGAAAAATAAATTACAGAAATAATTTCAAGCTCAAGTTTGGACTTCCATTGTTTGTGTGTTAGATTGGTTCCTCCCTTGGTTTCGAGGATGGAAATTTTGAATCCGCCAAGTTGGCATTTTATATTGCCGATGAGGATTGCCTATATTTTG